TGTGATCTTGATATGAGCTTGTAGATAATAGAGAATGACTTATTTTTATGCTATATGGCATTCTTGCATTTAAACATTTGCATTTAGAAAGAACAATAAGCATGAGCCATCTACATGCATACATATACATATGTATGAGAACTTAAAGAATAAAGAGAAAGAAAGAAAAGCTATTAAAGAATGCTTTAAAAGAAGAAAAGAAAAGGTTGTTGCAATGGGGAATGATAAAAGCTTGAAAATACATATTTTTTTAGTGATTCAATTGGATTATTTGTGGAAAAATGTGTTTAATTTGTGAAATTTAACTTAATTATTTCATAAATGTCTTTTATGGGATCACGGGTATGTTTCGAGTGTTTTCAGGTTCTTAAAGATGATATTCAGATGAAGGTTATATCGATGATGGAATGTGGGACAACAAGAATCAAATGGTTCATGATTTGGAGCTGAAATGAAGAAGTTAGGGCGATTTGAAGTTAAAGTGAAAATCCTGGAAAACGCTCCAGTTTTGAACATGCGACAGTAATTTGACAATAACTTGAGCTGTAGATTTTGGATTGAGATGATTCTTGAACCGTTGGAAATATGATTCAAAGGGCTACAATTCATATGTTATCACTTGGCAATATTCAAATGTTATCATGCTCAAAAACCACCATCTTGTCAAGATTTCGCGTTTTGGGGCAGAATCAACTATGCCTAGGCACAGTGCCGCGGCACAACTGCGAATCTGGGTTTTTTTAGATTAAATTTTTTACTTTTATTTCCTATTTTAAGAGTTCTAAAGTGATTAGGATAGTGGGAATCATAACCCTAAAACCCTAGGAGTATAAATAGATGTCTTTAGCTGATTTTTAGGAGGAGGGGAAGGGAGAGAAGTTCAGTTGCTCTTTGGAGATTGGAAATTTCCGCAATTTTGAGTCATCAATTAGAGAAGTTTTTCTACTCTTTCTTATACTCATGTTTATGAATACAATGGTTTTTATTACTGAAAGTATGAACTAATTTTATTTTCTAGGCCTAAGATGTAGCCCAATTTTATGAATATGCATTGAATTATTTGTTGCTAATTTTTATTAAGTTTTGTTTTAAGTTTTATTATTGTGCTTAAAGCTTTCAATTCTTAGGGGCCCTAGAGTTGAATGATTTTATGGGTTATGTTGAGATTGAGAGATGAAACCTAATTAGTCTAAGGTAATAAAACCATAGATTGAGCGAACGATAGAGATAGGTTACCGCGATCTGTGAGGCTTTGGTAAATTCCATAGAACTTAATGATCTCCAATTGCTTAAATCTGGTTAGAGATAATTCGGGTTAGTAATTAGGAGTTAATTTGTTAATTGTTCGAGAGAAAATTAGCAAAATATTAGGGAGTTTGGTCTTTAGAATAAACTTAATTGGATCAACGATAATTGTCAATGCATAGGATTAAATTGGTGTGAAATCTATGCCCTAGGTTTAGTCGTATTGATTTCCTACCAAAGTATTAATAAAAGTCTGTTTTTATTTTGTTTCTAAGTTGTTTTTTTTTTTCATTGAATCATTCTGAAAACATAATCAATCAAATAGCAATAAGATAGGTTAGTGTGGTACTTGGTATTAGTAATTCCCTTGGGTTCGACATCCGTATTCTTACACTTTATTACTTGCACGATTTCGTACACTTGCGAAAATCAACAACAGGGAACCCGTGAGTGACAGAAGAGAATAGCCCCACATGCACGCCCCCTTCAATGAGCGGCCTCAGAATCAGAAAGAAGAAAGTGTACAGTTCATTAGAAGTGCATGTGGATGAGAATTGTACCAACAGAATATACCTCATGCACGCCGCTTTCAACGAGTGGCTATTGATAATCCGAGGATTATACTGTTTTATTTAGGCTTTTAGGCTAGATTTTAGATACTTCTTAGTTCATTTATCCCTAAATTGCTACTTAATTCTTTACATGTTGTGTTTCAGGCCAAAATGGACATTTTGACAAATAATGAGCAAATTGGAGTTTTTGGACTCAGAAGTAAGCGGATCTCAGAATTTGGGAGAGTTTTGAAGCAGAGTAAAGCAATATGAAGCTTGCTCCCATGGGAGAGCATCGAAGATCGAAGATTCAAGCAAAGAAGCAAGCGGAGGGCAATTCTGTAAATTCAAATTTCTTCATGAAGATTCGCGGCGAAATGAGTTACGCACAAGATTTAAGTTTACTTTGTCGCCGCAGCGAGATTTCTTCTTCGCCGTGGCAAAGTCTGCAAATTTCAGTTTCTTTAAAACACACAGTTTCATTTTTAGGCAAAGTCTTAGGTTTTTGGGCGAAGTATAAAAGCAAAACTTTACCATTTTGAGAAAGAATCGTGTTTTTCTTAGTAGAGAGCAGCTTATTTTCATCTTCCTTAGTTTAGATTTGACGAATTTTGGGTTGAAAAGTGAGAACATTTGGGATTGAATATGGTGGATTCTTCAACTAGGGGAGATCTCTTGTCTTTTCCCTCATTTCAATATGTTGAACCTTGTGTTTATTGTTTTTCTTGTTGTGTATTTTGATTTACCTATGAACTAACCCATTTTGGGTCAGGGTTTTGATGTAATTCGGATTCCCATGGATTGAGCAATTGATTTTTGTTATTTTCATATGTTATTGCATGGATTGTGTGGTTATTCTGAATTTATTGCTTTTAATTGATGAACATGATGAGATTGAGAAATGAGTCATGTTAAGCTTCTTGGGTAATCACCATTGTAGTATTGAATGCTAGAGATAGATTTAAGAATCAATGAAATCAATCTAGGATTCCATGTGCTCAATGAGCTTAGAACTATTAATCTTCAAATTGTTGGGTGTGGAAGTTTAATAGGAAAAAGTAGGAAAACATAGCCTGAGAAGGTATGTTTACAATTTAGAGAATTCGATTTACAATCAATGCATGTGAATATGGAAATAGCATAATCTGTAGGTTAATCCATAGAGTCTGAATGAAGTCAAAACCCTACCCGTTTGTTTAAATTGATATTACCTTGTTTTTAATATTGCTTTCATAATTTAGCTTTGAATATTTAGTAATTTTTGTTCTAGTTTTAAGTTTAATTTTCTCCCATTAATCCAAACAAATTCGATTGCTCCAACTTGAAAACATTAGAAAACTTAGTGCTTAGCAACCAATCCTCATGGGAATGATACTCACTCATCACTTTATTACTTAATGCGACTAGTGCACTTGCTATATTGCATGTTATAGTTACATCACATCAAGTTTTTGGCGCCGTTGTTGGGGATTGAGTTTTGTGTTAACATTCAAATTTTCTTGTGTTAGCTAGATTGGAGCTTTATTTTTTTGCTTAATTATTGTTTGTTTAATTTTTGTTATTCTTTTAGGTTGGTTTGTGATCTCACTCTTTCTATTTTTCTGTGTAGTTTATGCGAAGAGCAAGACGTCAACCAGTGGTNGCTAATTTCTTGGGGTTTCAACTTTTATGTGTTTGATAATATATATTTTTTTAATTTTTATTTTTGGCATGTACTCTTATATCATAATTAATCTTGGTCACGTAAAGGAATTTAGTTATTTTTTATTATATAAATTCACCTAAGTTTTGAATAATATATATGTTCTTATGTAAATAATAGATTAAGAAAGAATGATCAATGCCCCATAATTTATAACTAAACCCACTTCATATTTTAATTTGAATTTAAGCAAAGTTTAACCGTTTATGAGAAAAGATCCAAACTTTTTATATTTTCAAATGATGTCTCTTGTTGTTCACCCTTAACGAAACTTTGGCTAACTCAACTACTGTTTCCTTTACCAATCAGGTAAAAGTATGGGCAGAATCTGCAATGCATGAAATTTAATCCAGCCTAGCTAGCTGACACAGCTTTAGAAAAAGGATGAGGTAAAGAATAAACTTAAAAGCTTCATAAGGGCGGTAGTTGAAAGACCCAAGTTTTCTTGAAAAGAAAAGCACAATATCGTTCACTGTCTCACTACTTTCCTTAACTTTCTGCAAACCAGACACACAAAAAGTTTCCCTCTTGTACAGAAACATAGAAAGCCTAAGGGTATTCACAAAGCTTCGAATATTATTTAAATATGTCCAATTAATTTAATATTCATTCATAAATTAAGCATACATTACAAAATTAACCAAAGTCGTGTTATTATTAAGTTAACAGTAAACAACTTTTTCCCACCCAAATAATGGTTTAATGACACTTTCATACCCACAAAATTTTAAAATACTATTTTACTACCCAAATATAGATTTTGTTTCTGATTCCAACATCGTTGTGACCCCATACCACCACTATTCTCTTCCTTGATCATCACTCATCAAAACTTCTCACACCCTACTCTCGTCGACCCCACCAATTGTTAGTAATCGAGTGATTAGGGTTTGCGTAGCCGCCCCTCCCAAGTCAAATTTCGATCAATCCCAACCACCAAAATACAACCTTCCACTACCAAAAGACTCATTGGCCTCCCCTCTTCAAAAGCCTAACAGTCTGGACTAAGTTTGCTCTTTGTTTGTTGTCGAAATATAAATTTGTGTAGTAAAATAATATTTTAAGAGTCTGTGGGTGGGAAAGTGTCACATTAATCCATTATTTGGGTGGGAAAAAGTCGTTAACTCTTAGGGGGCGTTTGGGTCATATAATGTTTTATTATAAAGGTATATTATATTAACGGAAAGAAAGATCACCTTAAAGATTACTAAAAATGTTTAGAAAATGCGTTTGATTAATTCGAATAAATTGGTGAATAATATATTTGGTTGGAAGGATAAATGAGTGGGTATGTTATGTAGATTACTAAATTGTCCTCCTTTTTAAATATTAATATAATAAAATTTTTTATTATTATTTTTGGAACCATTTCTTTGCTTACTTCTAAAGATATTCTTGCTTCAACTAACTTTGCTTCTATCTACAAATCCTTTGGTTTAATTTCCCATGCAATACCTATATATATGCTATCTCCTTCCCTTCCTCTTAACCTGTCTCCTTTCCTCTTAACAATAACCATGTCGACCAATTACTTCAAATTCATTGCGTTCATCTGGTTTCTCAATCAAAATGCGCTTCAAATCTCAACAGCTTCCGTCGTTTCTACCGGAGATTTTAACAAGGACTTCTTCGTCTCCTGGTCCCCTAGCCATGTAAACACTTCTGCAGATGGCTTATCAAGAAGCTTGAAGCTCGACCAAGAATCTGGTATGCCATATAATTTATTACACACTCATGAACATTGAAAAATCTCTAATTTTCTTACTATTATATATTATTAATTATTTTATTTCTGGCAGGGTCTGCTTTTGATTCAAATCAAATGTTCTTATTCGGACAAATAGATATGGAAATCAAGCTAGTACCAGGAGATTCTGCTGGCACAGTTCTGGCCTTTTATGTAAGTGAAGTAACTTATTAGTTTATATATCTATATGAAAATTATTTTGCGCGGATGTTCTAAAGTTTTTGAGGTGTGGATTAAAGTTGAGCAAAGGCTCGTTGGCTTTTCATTTTGCTTTCTCCATTTCGTTGTGTGATTGATATATATTTCAATGCAGTTGGCCTCGGATCAACCTAACAGAGATGAATTGGACTTTGAATTCCTGGGAAATGTGAGTGGCCAACCTTACATTCTTCAAACTAATGTTTTTGCCGACGGGTTTGACGACCGTGAAGAGAGAATTTATCTGTGGTTTGATCCAACCGCCGACTTTCATACATACTCTGTGCTCTGGAATCTTCACCAAATTGTGTAAGCCACTGTTAAACATTTAGGTTATTTTCAAACATTTATATTTTATTTCAAATGAATAATCCTTACAAATTTTTGCGTGTTAAATTTCTCAGTTTCATGGTGGATAATAAACCTATCAGAACGTACAGAAACCATGCAGACAAAGGAGTGGCATATCCACGATGGCAACCGATGAGCATAAAGGCCAGCTTATGGAATGGAGACAGCTGGGCGACACGCGGTGGAAAGGACAAAACCGATTGGTCGAAAGCACCCTTCATTGCCTCGTTCAGAAACTACAAGACTGACGCCTGCGTTTGGAATGGAAATCCGAGGTTTTGCAGGGCGGATAGCTCGGATAATTGGTGGAACAAAGAGAGATACAGCAGTCTTGATCGTGATCAGAAACGATGGTTCAAATGGGTGAGGAAATACCACATGATTTATGATTACTGCCTGGATAACCAGAGATTCCAAAACAATCTTCCCAAGGAATGCTCTCTTCCCAAATATTGATTTTGATTTATATATACGGAGGATTCATCCAATTTCCATTTCAATTTTTTCCTTATGTTATTATTTTTATTTTTTATTGTTTCTTTATGTTATAAATATGTGTAAATTAAAGGTATTTTTTCAGCAATTAATGAATGCATATTCTTGTATGTCGTTCCAACTAAAGCAATCTCTGTTCAGACCTCTTTAATTTTAGGAAGGTGGACCTAAATATAGATAATTATTTTATTTTATTTTATTTTGTTGATATAAAAGATAATTTTTTTTTTTTTTTTTTAAATAGAGAAAGAAAAATGTCAAAAAAAGAGAAAAGAAGTGTATGATGAATTTTTATCAGAAAGTGATTAAAAAATTTAGAGAATTCAATTATATATTATGACGAAGTTATACAACTAAATTAAAAATTTATATATAAGTAAAACATTTCAAAAATAATAATTCTAACTCTGTATATAATATTTGTTTATAAGCAAAAATGAATAAAAAAGACAAGTGTTTTTAGAAAGGATATTGTTTTAGATAAATTGGAAAATCGAAATTCTATTAATACATAATGGTTTTGAAAGAATTTAAGTGGGTTCAAATAAGAACACTTTAATTTGTAACATATGATTTGTATCATAAATGTGGATGTTCCCATACTCAATTTCTTTTTCAATTTAGAAATATTTTTCTGTTTTAGATTCTAAATTTAATTTAAATCTGCAATTTTATATATTAAAAATGATTGAAAACATTATCTCAAATTAACTACTTCTAAAGGGTTGAGTGGTTCGATAGAGACTTTTGGATGTATTAATCTTGAGTTTGAGTCCCTCTTCAGTTGCTAATAGAGGTAATCATAGTAGTTATTACCTGATCAGTAGTTTCAAGGTCCAAGAAATTCATTAAGGTGCGCGTAAGTTGATCTGGACACTCATAGTCATTTAAAAAAAATAAACATTGTGATTGAAATTTTGAAATTAATTTTTTAGACTAGATGGTTTTCCAATCCAAGATTAGGGAAGACCCGGGTAGACCTGGACAAGGCTTGATCCTAACTGGGTCTGGACCTGATTGGGATTGGTCCCATTTGGGACTAGTCACTCATGGGCCTAGGAAGAAATTTCAGGGCATGGACCGATCCCATGAGCTTGAAAAATTTTGTTCCACCCCTAACTTTTTTTTTTATATTTAAGGGATTAAATAAAATTATATAGGGGGGTCTATGTAATTTTTAGGGGTCTTGGAAGATTTTTTGCAACCCATAAATTTGGTAAAATGTTAATTTAACCTTCAATATTTTTGTCTATTTAAAAATTACAAGAGGTTTTTGGATATTTTTCAGGAGACTTTTTAAAAAAAATGCAAAGGAGTTTGGGCTCAGGCTGGGACTGATCCCAGGCCCGGGTCTTCAAGGAGCGCTCGACCCCTCCTTCATGGGCCTGGTCCAGGTTTAGGATCAAACCTCATAGGACTGGTTTTTTGGGATTGGTCCAAAATGCCCAGGTCTAAACCCGGGTCTTCTTTTTTCCCCTAATTCCTAAATCTGAAGAAAAATGTTATTCTTATGAAAACTTATACAAAGAAGACTAAAAAATAAAGAAAAAAACAAAGAAAAAACAGAAAAAGAGAAAGAAATAGAGAGATATCATGAAGATCAAGATAACAATTATTTTTGTATACCTTTTTGTATTTGTCATTGTGAGATTAGCACTTCTCAAATCTGAAAATCTATTTCAGAATTTCAAACCCTTAAAACCACAACGCCAACTCAGTCGCCACTCTCAGCCGCCGTGACTTTCGCCGCTCATCACTGTCGCAACCTCGCCTTTTCAAGCGGAAATCCACCACGCAAACCTCGCTGAAACTGACTGCCGCTCCATACATTACGACGGAATATGTATTTGTTTCCTCTTTCTTAATTTTTTTTTGTTTTTTTATGTCATAGATTTTATACAGTTTTGCTGGCCTATACTGAAGCGGAACTTAAATTTGAAGTGTTGTTTCGTTATGATGTAGAATTGAATTTAATTAAAACTCTAGTTAACTGAGGAAGATAAGTATGTGAAGTTATGTCTTTCTATAATTGAAGGAAATTTATCACATTTATTATGTTGAATGTTGATGATGATTAGAAGAAAATTTTAATATTCTTGAATCCTTTGAATGAATTAGGTGTATATTGTTCATATTTGTCTATTCATTACTTATAGTTTCCCAAAAGTATGGAAAGACAATTTTTGATGAAACTATTATGCTAAATTCATCTATTTTGTATTTGAACTAAATCCAAAAGGGTTGAAATTATTAATGGATTCTTTAATACTGGGGTTCAAATTTCAAAAGCTTATCTATCACATCAGGCATGCTTTTTAGACAATTCGTTATTAATGTATATGTAGGATATAAGTGGTTATTTTCGGAAAGAGTGTTTTACTGCTTCTGAGTTGCTGCGTTTCTGGTTCCTTGCACAACCCTTACCTTAATCTGAAGAGATGGCAGAAACAAGTAAAGATCTTTTGCAGTTAGAGGACAACAATTCCACTTCCTCATCCATAGGTACATGTTTGCCTTTTCTTTCTCTCTTCTCTTTATGTGTATTATAATTGTAATTTCACTGTTTGTGTTTGTGTTTTCAGAATCTGCACTTCTTGTTTGCAACAAGTAGTCCCATTCTTAGTTGAAGAAACCAAACCCAGATGAAAAACCTGTGTTTAATCCTCTTCTCCGAAGCCAAGGTACTCTCACTCTTGAAGTCTGTTTCAGTTTTTCTTAATTTTATTAATAAAGTGGCAAATTTCTCTTTTTAGCAATGCAGTTTTACTGAAGAAGAAATGCTCTATTTTTGTGAATTGAAGAACTATAAAAACCCATATCACATAGTTCTTTCATTTTGCTAATTATTGATGTAAAGTTTCTAAGATGTTTGGTTCCTTACTGTAAATCGTGTGAATCATGTATGGAAATGTATACTTGATATTTATTGTAGAGTTGGTGTTTCCCACATGTAAGGCCTGTTTGTTAAACATTAGGAACTGGAAGTAAGGAATTATTTTTTAATCGCAGTTGGTTCTAAATTCTTAGCTATTTTTGCAGTTCTAGGAAAAGTGAAGGATTTCTTGGGAATGATGTCAGAAGCTAATAAAAGGCTCCAGCTTGATGCAAAGGTTTGCATATTGATCATATTAAAATATCTAGTTTATTAATAGATCCAAACAAGCTCTCTCGATCACTAACCTGTGCTTAAATTTACTAAATGTAGGAAAAAGCTCAAGATTATGATATTGAAGTACTCACTGGAAATGAATCTGAAGTTATTGAGATGGTAACTGAGGGTTTCTCACTTTCTGTCTCTCTTCATACTTTGTTATGGCTTACAACATGTGGCAGCCAAGTTATAGCATGATTTCGGGGTGCATCTTAGTGACAGGATCTAATGCTAGGTGTAGCTGATCTTCATACACCAGAAACTGTAATGGCTGCTGAATCAGCTATTGCCGGTAACCAGCCAATGATTCCTTTTGCTGCCAGCAGAAGTGGAACAGACTCTGAAGGTAGCAGTGAAGATAGTGGCGACGACGATGACGACAAAGACGAAGATGATGACCACAACGATGATGACGATGAAGATGATGAATATAGTGACAATGATGACAAGGCCGTCTCAAGAACATTTGTGATCCTAGACAAGAGTTACTTTAAGGCATTTTTAATAATATAAGCATATATTAAAAAATTATTTCAAATTCATTTTTTCTTACCTTTTGAGATGCAAAATCATTAATTAAATTTTTATATTCAAGTTTAGAAACAAAATCTTTTTCAATTGATAATATAACCAAATTACTTAATCTTTCTTGTGAGGGCAAGAGGTGGACGTCAGGCTACTAGGGTCAGGTAAGTGAGGGGTTTTGGGGAGGGGGTTGAGGGGACGAAGATGGTGGTGTCGGGGAAGGTCAACGACAGCGAATGTATTGGAAATGGTTGTCGCACGCTGTGAAGAATGAAAATGGGTTGCGAAAATTAGCAAAAATCGGCCAAATTAGGGGTTATCAAGGTTGGGAAAATGTTTGGGAAATGATTAAGTGATGAATCCGATCGATTTTGGTGAGAAAATTGATCAGAATCATCACTTTAACGACGACAGCGACACTATGGTGGTGTGGAGGGGTGGATATGCAATGTTTTCATTATTTTAGGGATTGAATGGGTGTTTTGAAATTTTAGACATTTAAATAACTAGTTTAGTTAATTTGGGGGTGTGAATGGAAAATATGAAACATGGTTTTTTTTGGTAAATTTAAGTAAAAAAATTATAATGAATTTGAGGCTTTTGGCTTTCTGGGGCCCTTTGGACCAGTTTGGAAAAAAAATTATAAACTTTTTTTAGGCATAATGGTATTTTTGTAAATCTATTTAAAAAATCTTAAAATAATTTTGAGCCTCTTTTTGGGGCATTTTCTTTGAGGGTCCTAGGTAGATGCCTCACCTGCCTACCCCTTGGCCCCGCCCCCGCCCTGACTGATGATGCCAGTGGAGGCAAGAGGAAACATGTTCCCATCAAAGTTAAAAGATCTAAGACCATCAAAGATGAAAGTGAAACTTCTGAGTCACAGAAGCGGCCAAGGATTGTTGAGCTCTCATGCAAACATCTCTCTCTTTGTCTCTGTCTCTCATTTTTTTTTTTTTTTTTTTTTGCTTGAAAGAAGTTGATTAGGAAATCAGTTGAGTGAATTGTCTGTTGGAAACCCTTTAGGGACTTGCCATGTCTTCATACAGTTGCAACAAAATGCTTGTCTACTCTATGCTTGAAATTTTAATGAATGATTGGGCAATTTCTGCTGAGGATTTAAGTTACGTGGTGGACGAGATTTTCTTGTCCATTAATCTTTTGAAACTTCCTTAAGACAACTTTCACTAAAGAAATAGTGACATAATGTATGTAAAATTTTGTTTATGTTATAAGAATTCGTTATTAAGAGTGTTTAATCTGTGTAAGACCTGGATTTTTCTTCCTATCAGCTTTCAGAAATTATCTATTTTGTATATGCAACGAAAATAATAATCCAACCTTAAATTTCTAGAGGTGAGCTGCTGTTTGCTTAATTTTGAAATTAATTTCTCTTTTACTTCAGAGATTTGAAGTTTTATAGGTAGTGGTAGTGCTTAGTGATAAACAGATAATGAAGGAGTAGGCAATAAGTTTGAAGGTGTATAAGCAGCATTATGAATCTATGATGCACAATTGCACATAACTTGATCACGAGATCATTTGCTTTTTGAATATACTTCTCTACTATCGATTGTAGTGAACCTTTCTTAACTTTCATTCCCGACCGAAGCCTGAGTTTCGTGCATGAGTACACATGTTTGTTTCCTTGAATTATTGCAGGTATGCATAGAGCTGCAAAATAACATACTGTCATGTTTAGCTGAAATATATAAATGGAAATTAACATACTGTCATTAATAACTTGATCTGTAGGATCGTTTAATTAATGGTAAAATTATTTCTTTGTTTTAGGCTGTGATTTTTCCAATGGCCAAGTAAAAAATAACATGAAATAACTTTAGAGGAAGTTTTCTCGTGTTACACGGTTTCCCTAGTTTGGGTTTGACTTTAAATTGGTGGAGATTTTACCATTCTGAGAGTATTTTCCTCTCCATTCTTGGCAGAAAACCCAATCCAATTCTGTTCACTCTCCCAATTTTTTTAGCTGTTATTTGTATCAATTATGATCCTCTTTTCGGATGAACTTACATGAAACCTGAAAGCTGTTTTAATTCGTATCCATTTCTATTCATATCTGCTTAAGATTTATTGTTTAATTTCATTTTATTAGCTGTCTGTTGTATTGTTACAGTTGCTTAGTAAAATGCTCAAAGGATCCTGTCACAGGCTATTGGCTATTAACAAAGCATCAACCTCCCTTATGACAAACAGATTCTTGTCATGTTCAGAGAAGGTAAGGATACTTGCTTTGATTAGGATCACAGATCAAACTCCATGTCCTGGACATTTCTTATGTTGTGGAACCATGAAGGCTTTTAAACATATAAACCGGTAAGAACTGTTGAAGTAGGTGCCTTAGAGCCAATCAATTATTGTGAAATTGACTCCCTGTAATAATGTTTATTAATCAATAAAAGACATTATCTACTATATCATATAAACCATAGTTGTATGTATTGATATATGTCCTTAAAATGGTATAACTATGACGAGAATATCAAGTGTTTCAAATCTTGATAGTGAGAATCCTATGAGCATATAGTGGCCATTCTAGAAAGGTCCGTAGCCACAGTATTGTTCTGAAGTAAGGACACATATAATACGGTAAATCTATCATAGTGTTGAACGACCTTGTCGAAAGGCAGTGACTGATCTTACATGTCAATGTTGTTTGGTGACAACTTGGTGCAACATATGAGTGTTTGCTGTAGGCAAGTTCATTGGACTGACCCACTAGAGGATTCCATATGGATGGTAACCATAGTATCTATGAAAAAAATCCTCTAATGAATGGTGGTGCATGTGATGCTTAGACTTGAGATCACCAGAGCGCCTTTTTACACCGATTGGTGTAATTTGACACTAGTCCAACGCAATTCTATTTAGAGTTGTCAATACGGTAGTGATTGGTTGTATCGAAGAGTGTATCAAGACTATGGTGGATCGACAGATGATTCATCACTCTCAGGTACGAGAGAAGTTATCTCACGGCGCAATCCAGTTAATGACAATGACAGTAAATATGTGATCACAATGAGATTGAGTTGTTGCTCAATCCAATTCATTATTCCGGTCATTGGTCCAGTTACTGAATACAAATATATCAAGAGTAACCCAGGTTAACACTATTTCTGTGCCATAGTCTCAATGAGATAACAGATGATGAAAGGATTTGATTGTACTTTAACCATATCATTGACATGTAGCTACTTCGCTGAATCCGAATCTATCGGGTGGCCATGATGCCTTGCTAGGGGTCAATCTTGGTCTATGTATAGTGAGACGATTAATTGGTGTTGATCGTGATACTACACACTACCAGTATGATGAGGAACCTAGGGTCACACACGTAAAAGATAATTTAAGAATCAGTTTGTGTAAATGACGTTTTCGTCTTTTAAGGCGAAAAAATATTTTAGTAATCTCACAGTACAATTAAATTTGTTGAGGTTGTTGTCTTTATTTAATTTGATATTAAAATTAAATAAGTGAGATTATATTTAAATATGTGTACGTATATATTTAAATGAATTATTATTATTGTTAAATGTTAATATATTTTTATGTATATTAATTGAATTTAATTGAAGAAATAATAATAAAAATAAAAATATCTGAATAGGGATGTTTGGATATAGTGGCTGTTTGGGTTGGTGCCTAAGTCTATTCTTAAGTGGAATAGGGTTTCACATACACTATATAAGTGCATGTGTTCTATGAATTAAATAACACTTTTCATTAAGTCATTTTTATATTCATTAATTGAAAAGTTCCAGCCCCTTTCTCTCTAGCCCATGCCAGTTTACTTTGTATGAATCAAATTCATTTGATTCTTGAGGCTAACGAGGATCTAGCAAATCTCTCTTTAGCTCTTCGGGTTATCTTTGTATGGACTACCACTGGTTTGATTCTACTTTGAATCAGTAACGAACCCAGTAAGAGACAAATTTGAAGGAGCCTCTAAACGTGCGTATGAACTCTAATCTTTACTCTGATCGTTCATATTACTGCAGAATATTTGATTTAACATATTACCTGTAATATCTGTATCCTGATCTTGGCTTAAAATAGAATCAGTTGCTGTTTTATTTTGTTTTCCGCTGCCATGGGTTTAGATTGTTTCCTAACAAGAACATGAAGTAGTTAACACAAAATACTGAGTTTGAAATATTTTAACATCCAATTTCATTCCCTATTTCGGTGCAATACAGTGAAGAGAGACTCTGCAAGTGAAATTGTCTGGTATGTGATCATAATTTGTCCTTCACTTTGCCTTAGATTTAATGTCAAAATAGTTTGTCTGAACTCTATTGATGAAATTATTATATTCATTAGTTTGATCAGCGGTTGGCCAATTGGGAGTATTCTTTTGTTTCTTTCTGTGATATTTTGCATTTTTAAATGCAACTGTTGATATCACCCCCAGTTTGGCTCCCCTGGTTTTTGAAATTCTTGAGAGTTCCTCTAACATAATTTGACTTCTTATTAGTTCTAACTCAAACTCCACATATCACCAAACAGTCTTTGAAAATTTAGTCTTACTTGCATTTTTATTATTGCCTTGGATTAATTTGACTAACCTATATCGCATAAAACTATCATGTGTCCTTCTTCATTACCAGGATTGATCTATATTCTAAATCTGTTGTTACTTATTCCATGAATCTACCTGTGTTGTCTTGTAAACTGAGGAATTTTTCTTTGAGAAAGTTAAAATAATATTAGTGGGTCCATTTATATTTAATGATCAACGGCCAATAGTTTTTTTGAGTATAAAAGAGTGCCAAGTTCAATTGGATATCAACACACATACATAAGATCGTTAAATTAAGTTTATTTTAGTTTCTGTATTAACACATATTTCCATCAAATGTGAAAATGGTTTATGAGTATATACTGTAAGGAGTCATAGCTTCTCTGTTGGGCTGTGCCCGGCTGTACGATTCAAGAGGAAAGAAGAGCAGCGTAGTATCTTCAATGGAGATTCAAAGAAATGAGTGCTTCAAGAGCTTA